CGGGGGATAAACTTGAAATATTAAGATGCAATGCACTGTGTTTCTGGAAAGTCCTGCCATAGTCTGTCTTGCCTGCTGCTTGAGAAGCCCTAACTTCAGCATACATTAAGAGGCTTAAATATCCAAAGGTCTGGAAGAACCATCAGAACAGGGAGATTTTGAGATTGCATGCAATCTTCTTGTGTAAAAAAATACCTAGGCACTAGTGTCCTTGCAGAGAGCACACCCTGTAATGTCCAGTACCAAGCAAGCACATGTACTAGTATAGCTGAAAGAAAAACACTTTTAACTGTCAAGCACAAAGACTGACATCTTCATTGTATGGAGGAGCTGATTCTTGAATAGTCTATCAGGAACTAATTCCTTGGGGAACAGTTTCTGTGGTGCATCTTTTTAACACCCAAAATACTTTCCTCCTTGTAATCAAAATTTCTTCATGGTTAGAGGAAATATGAAGAATTAGGGGACAATGAAGAACTGGAGGATCGGGGGGTGAAGTTGTAGGTACTCATTTCATCAGCTTGTCACTAGATCAGCAGGCAGTCTTTTTCCTATAAATAACTTCTGCTGTTTCTCCGAGAGGAGGCTGGAAGCTCTGTGCTGTACCAAGTCCCTGCTGTGTTCCTGTGTTTCCTTACCAACATATCCTTCTGGTTTGATTTCTTCAACTACTGTTGCTCAGTTCAGCAGCAAACCCTCAGAAAACATGGCAGAGCTGTTCAAAGAAGGAAATTCTTCAGTGTAATACCTACTTAAGGACAAACAAGCAGATATTTAATCAGTGGAAATCCATGGTTCACTACTATCTTTCATGAAGGTGGCATCTCAGGCATTTGCTTCTACCATCTTTCTCAGTGCTCTTGCTCTGAGAGTGAGCACATAGAGATAGCATTTAAAAAACCAACCAACCAACCCACCCAAAAAACCCCAAACTCAAAGTGGATTGAGTGGAAGTAAGTTTTAAGGCTTTTCAGGGTTGGGATTGTGTGAGTTCTGTTTGATCAACCTACAGCAGTTGCTGGTAGTGATGAAGGGTAAAATACATATATATTGATGTCAATCCTGCCACTCCATTCTGCTTGAGGGGAAGTGCCTGCTTTGTTTAATGTTATGAAATTGGTTGGTGTCATCCTACTTTGATAGCTCCAAGTCCTAACTTACCGCCTGGGCAGCTAAATCTACACTCATTATTGCAGGAGACAAGAGAGGAAAGAATTCGCCAATACCATGAAGAACCAAACACCCTTCCAGTTCTGGTGAGTAGTAGTTCCCAGTCAGGAAGCTCATGGCTGCAGCATGGTAAACATTTTAAATGTATTCTTGCTAGGTTTCAGTGTGGGTTTCCCTGCCTGACAAGTTTTCAGAACTGTGGCATGGAAGGCCAGTTACATTCTTGCTAAGAGCTTCAACTTTGGATTTTGAACAAATGAAATGCATTCTGCCTGTTAGATGCTTGGAGTCCTGTTGCCAAACACTGTGTTTTAGACAGCTCTGATCTTTCCAGTCACTGGCCACCAGTCCTGTGTTGTATGTTCGAGGTGGTGTGCATGCAGATGGTAAGATACCTCCCCTTAATCTTTTTGCAGATATTCTTAACTTTACATTTTGTTTTAATCTCTGTAGGTTTCTGAATTTGCTCATTCAGTAGTATGTTCATAATTACAGTACGTCCATCTGGGGAAGTGGGACCTCTCGGTTTCCTGGCCCTGTGCTTGAGCTTGGAGGATAACGTTTGTGCTCTTAACAAAACCAGTTGGCTGTTGCTTGGCCCAAACTGGATTTAAGAATGGTGGTAGCAGAAGTAATTGTGGAAAAAACACACTTTCCTTTTCTCCTTGATGGTTTCTCCTTTAAAAGTGAAAAATAAACAAGAAAACCAGCTTCTAACACAAAATAACTCACCTAATTTTGCCTTGGCATCTTTGTTAAAAATAGGTGAGCAAGAAAGTCTTTTCTGTTGCCATGGTGAGCTGCACTAAGACTGGCCTGCTCGTGACAAGCATTCTAGCCTTTCAAATAGGTTGAAAATAATGTTAAGTGTTTCCACCTACATTAGGGCTTGCGGGAAGGTGCAATGCTGCTAGTGGAAGGAGACAAAGCCACCTTGCAAGGAGTGACAGGAGCACGTCTGTTTCTGAGGTAAATGCTTCATTTGAATTGACATCCTCCTTCAGATAGAAAGGGAGAGAGACATGCTGCCTGTCCCCCACATCGGAAGTTACTTAATCCCTTGCTTCCATTTCTCTTTGGGGAAAACATGAGTATTGCTTTATGCTCCAAAGGAGCAGGTAGTATGACAGCACTCTAAAGGATGTCTAACTTACCCAGTAAGTGCTATGGTGTTACATCCATAGATGTTTATGTTTCTGAACTATAGTTACCATTCACAGAAAGAGCCCCAGTAGTCAGCTCTGTTATTGAAGGCCAGGGGAATGCCAGTTTGGCCCTAATGCACTGAAGTCTAACAAGGTAACTCATGTCTTTAGTCATACAAACATTACTAACAAATTTAATATGTATGTCCAGTGATGCAGGCAAGGAAGGGAGTCAAAATTCTGCTTGTTATGAATAAGGATGCCTCAGTTCCGTCCCTAGTAACAGATGGAAGCACAGTAGTCCTAGCTCCTGTTAAAGCTCACACAGCATGGTTTGTCTTGTTTACAGGGGTAAGAAACCAACTGAACATGAGCCTGGAACAGATTTCAGTTTCCTCCTGATTGACAGTAATCTCCAGAATCTGTAGCCTTGCACATTCTGCAGCAAAAGTCACTATATGGGAAGACAATGAGGAGGAAGGAAAGAGATGCTTCTAGTCCCAGGGTGGCTGGAGAACTTTATCTTTATAAATAAAGATAAATATTCATTAGTGGGCTCTTTTGCCCACCCCAATTCATGTCTCAGACGTCTCTCCTTCCTAGCAAAAAGACAATTTTTATTGCAATACTCAAGTAGTCATAGCTATTCTTAGTCTGGAAGGGTCTGTACATTCATGTATCCACTTTGATTCCTTCCCCACCGAAAAAAACCAAGTTACTTTAACACAATTAAGACAGGACACCAAGACAGCTGTTCCTGCTGCTTAGCTTTACCTGCTAAATGAAAGAATTGTTCATTTAGTGTACTCCCACACTATTAGTTTCATTTTTGCACTGTTAATAAAGGGAGAAGTTATGCATTCAATTACTTTTATTTGCTTCAGACTTGTTAAATATATACAATGCTAATTATGTACAAAAGTGTGCATGTTAAAAATTGTCAGGTTACAAACTTGCAAATCCTAGAAAAGTGCAAAATTTTAAAACATCTTCCACCATGCTGTACAGAAAAAGATACATCATTAGCCAATATACAGACTCTTAAAACATACTGATCAAAACAAAATAAGACATACAATATACCCTTAAAGCACCCAGAAGGGAAAAAGATATTGCACAGAAGACTGACAGCAAGTTCATTATAGTGCCTGAAGGCTCATTTTCGAAAGTCGATTATTTCCAACACTTCTCAGACCTAACATTTAACTCTTAAAAAAGGCATTTTTTGGCATTTTAATATCCACTTGTAATCACATAATTGCACAATCTGTAAGAATTATCAGAAGATATGGTTAACTGTTGCTGTAAGGCCTTTGCTTGCACTCCCTCATTAGCTTTAGTAAAATTTCATCAAGCAAACTGAGTAGTATCACAGCTTCCATCAAAACACTGACCAAAGGGAGGTAAGTCTTAATAAGCCACATTTTTCTAATCTTATATTAAGCTGCTCCTGAATAGCGAAGTGTTGAATCAGAACATGTATCACAAGTTTTCCTTGATTTTTTTTCTTCCCCCCTCATGGCTTTCTTTAAGCAACAGCTTACAGCTACGTATGACTAAAGCAGTACTGTCAGGTGCAAGACTAAGTTTATTTTAAGAAGTTACTTGAAGGCAAAAGCTATCGCTCCCTGAAGAGGAAAATACTGACTAGATAGGAAGCTAAGTAAACAAGTGGCCTCTAAGTTCAGTTAGATCTACGATATATATGGCTGGATGTTTTATATTTCAATCTCAAAACACCTTAGCAGCTTTAAACCATAATCTGTACTGACAATCGGGCTTCTGGGACAGAAGACATGTTATGAAATTGCGTCTGTGCTGAGTATCATCACAGAGCTAAGCTCTGGAAATACCTGCCAAATTTCCCACGTCCAGTAGATGAAAACAGAAAGAACGCACAACTGGAGGAACTCTCTACTGAGGAAAAGAAGTGAAACACCTGTTTTATCTGGGCCATTTGGGTAAATGGTAACTAAAAGAAAGACACACCAGTTTTTTTCCACAGATACATAGCAAAAAGGTGAACTAAAACCAAACAAAGGGTGCCTTTGCTTAAACACTACAAGCAGTTCCTCACGTATGGGGCACTCAAGACTGCAGTAAGATGACTAGAACTCTGAACAAATTGCGCAGAGCATGCTATGCTGCTACTCAGGCGTTTCCGCATTCAGGCATCTGATGACTGCAATAGTGAAGGGGACAATAGTATTTTACTTTTTTTTTTTTTTTTTAATCTGCAGTACCTTTTCAGAAAACCATTGCTTCCTTTAAAAGTATGTGCTAACAAGGGCAATTAGTAATAATAAGGAGAATTTGGCTCCTTGGGATGGAAGGAAAGACATCTTCCAAACACTTTAGTTGAGTCTAACATTGGTACACAATGAACCCACATGTGTATGACTGCACAAAAGGAGACTACTAACAAGTGTCATGTTCACAGCTGAAACCAACATAGCTTTTAAACCAAAAAGCATGAAAAATCCATTCTAGAAAGCATTGAAGCACATGCTTGTATTTCCACCCAATTAAATATAACCCTTTGTAGTGCTTTCATCTAACAGTATTTATTAGATCAGTCCTTAGATTCACATTAGGATATGTATTTATATGTGGGGGGTTTTTTTTGAAATCTTTGGAAGGGGGGGAAAAAAAAAATAAAATTCACAGCACCTAGCCTCGGCATCTAACCTAGCCAGCAAGGTGCCTTTAACAGTGGGAGAGAGTGTCTTCAGGTGACAATACGGAGCAAGTGTCTACGCAGACTCTCAATGTAGGAGTGGAAGGAGGCGGACACCTCCTCTACTCCCCTCCCTAGCTCTAAAGCTTCCTACCATACCATAATCCATATATAGATACACATTTTCAACTAAATACATATAAAACAGTAAAAGCTTTGGGAAACATTTGGTTGCTATAAGTATATTTTCTAATTACTTTGTTAATTGAGATTGGGAAAGACTTGCAGGGGAAACAGGGAGGAGGGAGACACAGTCTAGGGAATTGAGGTATACAGCTCCCATTGACTAAGGCAAGAATTAAAAAAGCTACCTAATTATTGTGCATTACAAATAAAAATAAATTTATAATTCCTGCAGGACTATCTTAAAGCAGACTGATGTAGGACTGTTAGCAGTCCCATATGGAATTTTTACAGTGCAGAAACTTAGTTCTTTGCACTTCATTTAAAAGACACAGAAATACAACTTTTAAGAGGATCCTTATAAAGCAGCCAATTGACTAGACTATTGAAAATCTGGAAAGACTTTGATAAACCTGTTTTGTGATAATATTCATGATTTAAGGTATACCGGGGGAAAAAAGCTTGTTTATATCAATGTTGCAGATTAGCAAAACAATTACAGTGTGTGCGTGTATGTGATATTGTTGGGTTTTTTTGGTTTTAAATCAAACAGGCTTCCTAAAACCTAATTTTCATAATGTCTATTAAACATCAGGAGAAGTGCAGTTAGTTTAAGATTGGGATTATTATTTTGTGCTGGTGTTTACATGGATGATAGAAGACGTGGTTTTTAGATATCCTATGAGCAAGTATTAGATAACAAGTATATTGACATAGAATCATTTGTGTAAGTCAGATGATAACTTGAACAGCAAACATTTCACTTTCTGAATGCCTGTATAGTACAAAAACTGCACAGACAAGATTCTTCACTATAGATAAAAAGACAACTAAAAATACTATCAAGAATTATAAGTAAGTTGATAAAAAGAAATTTAACAAACATTTTACTTGAAATAAAGGAGAGATGTCTTCTAAATATCATCCTTTGGTATGCAAGTTCAAAACTGCTACAGAGAAGTTACTCAATACTGCTAACTATTTGATCTCATTTATATACAGGTATGAAAGGAGAGTCAGTTTTCACTTTCTTTTAGGTGTATATATTTACACTCCTACTCACTTACTCAGCTTAAAAAGTAAGTGTATCTTAAACTTTGATATATATTAGGGTTGTTCCAAAAATTAAAAGATACTAACAAGAAGATCTTGACAAATGTAGTGTTATGAAACAACTGTCACTTAAGACTTGTTTATTCTAAATTCCTAATCAGAATTATCTCATCTCAAAGCTTTACTTTTTACACTTAAATAATTCTTAGTTCAAAAACAAAAGGAGAATTTTATTTCACCAATACTACATGAAAAACAAGACATGATCCTAAGCTTTAATGACTTGAGGAAATCAAAGAATTATGAAAGTCAGTTCACTAGTTCACAGTGCACTGCATAACAGATTGCAATTCAGCCAACCTAAACAGCTGATCAGAAAAATTATTTTCTACTTTTTAAGACTTACACAAGTAAGTTAAAACCGAAAGAAACAACATACCAGCTAATGCTCACACTTATGACCTCTATCTTTTACTTAAAGCTGGTTTTAGACAAAGGCAAAGTGCACACCTTCAAATCTACGGGGTCTTTCCAGAGGGTCTCTGGGAAGAACGCTAAGCATGTGATAGTGTATACCTCCCATCCTCAAGCACCAGATAAAAGATCAAAAGGCAACAGATGTTGCCATGCTGTGTAGAGCATGAAGCAGCTCAGAGCTCTCCTGTCCCCCACCTCATTCTGCTGATGCTGTTTTGTGCTGAGCACAAACTACCCTCAAGTTTGAGAACCAAGAACTATCCACATTTAAACCTGTCCCAGATATTTGTGGAGATCACCGAATGCTTGTGATGCACTGAAATGATTGTATTCAAATTCACCATAAATTCTTTCATCCCCAATTATTGCAACTACATTATATTTTACTTAAACTGACACAGTGTATTCAGTATTCTTTAACATTAAACTAATAAAACCATTATTTCAACTGTTGTATAAACATACCTAACCCACATTAGGACCTTTTCAAACCCTTACGTGAACCACTCTGTGCAAGTGACAAAAAGAAAACTATGCTTTCACCAAACACTACAAAAGACCTATCTCTTCAATTTTTCCACTTGATTCTGCTAACCCAAATCATCATAATTTCCTGCCCCCTTCCCCTGCAAGTAAACACTTAACCTCATATATGCATTTAAATGGAATATATATGCATACTTACAAAAACCATCAACTTATTGCCCCAAAGAAGTTCTTTTTTCAACTTCCCATAACAGAAAAATCTCACATTCTGAGCTGAAATTCTTTTAAACTACTCTCAAAAGAGCTCCCCTGAAATCCCTTCTTCATGAAATCGTAATGGACAAACATACTTCACATTCTCATATACATATTTAATACTTCCAGAGTATCCTTAGTATTCTTACTGGATAGGAAATTGATTAAAAATAGTATTTTTCACTTCTTTATAGCTTATTTGAAAATATGAGATGTGGGTGTTTTGGTTTTGGGGGTTTTGGTTTTGGTTTTGTTGTGTTTTTTTTTCATACAGGGAATCCAAAAAACCCACGTTGCTTCACTTCTGGAAATTTAATGATCTCTTTGCAAATGACTCAGGGAAATAATTCTTATTTTCTCCTAACTTTCCAGATGATCCAGTCTGTCACAGTGATTAGTTAGAATATTGCAACTATGCAT